AGTCTGTAATTTACGAATGAGAGATTCCGCAGTACTGACCCGGCGGGCCGACTAGTCGATGCGAGGAATCACCGGAGTCAACCTCGATTTGAAGCGATTTTTGCGTTAAGCGAAAGATCGAAGCTACTCGTCGAAAAATCAGGGGAGGCCGGAATTCCGGGTAGCGAAACAATAAGCCCCAAAAGAAATTTACGACGTTGTTCATTTGTTCGGCCTTTTCTCAGTTTGTTCCAATTGTCAAGTTTTAGGGCTGTCTTCCCAATGCCATTTCTTTCACAGCGGATCAGCTGGTAGCTAAGACTCCATCTTACATCGCGTGGCTGCTTCCTTCTCCCGGTGGCTCCTTGTGATTTTCTTTCTCTGGATTAGATAAAGACTCACAGCTGTGGAATATTTGAGTGTAGCCTATCTACTAGGAATACCTGAAAAGAGTTTGATTTTTTTTTCGTGCCAATGAAGGAACTTTTCCCCCTTCGGGGGTCGACAAGTGATCCCCCGCAGCTACAGGAATCGACGCTGACGTCCAGAGGTTTCGACGAACCGCGTTTCGCTCGCCAACGCGCCTTCTCGCTCTGCCCTGATGTCGCTGATGTCGTACAAAGCCATAAATCTCAATAGCGATTCCGTTGTCGTGGCGCCGAACATCTACGAATGACTCTTTCGGTTTCGTTGCCTCTACGGGACCCGTTCCGGGTTTGAGCACGTCAGACCCGTTCTGTGGTGCCATCTAAGAATCGTCCTGCTTGACGATCATCCGACTTGCTGACTGACTAACGAAACAGTTGCCAATTGTGTGAGACATCCTAGAAAAATTCGGACGACCAAGGAACACACTGACGCACAGACCGGCCGACGAGCGGGCGGGTGGCGAGCGGCTGGTTGGATGCAGAGACCGGGAACAAGGAAGAGCCCAGTGGATCGCGTCCACTTAGCAGCGAATGTTGGAAACTTCCACTCACAGCTGTTCGCAGCTCTGATGAACAGATGTGGTTTACGGTCGGAGCGTTCGGCTGAATGGAGATGCTCCTGCTTTCGTATCGATGATGACGATGATGATGATGATGATCCTTTCTCGCGTTTATTCAGCGATGTCCCGAAAGCTAGAAGTTGCACTGTAAGTTCGCGGAGAGTCTCATGCAGCTCGGACTCGTTTCGGGATGCTCCCGATTATTACGATTCTCCTTGCGTGCCTTGCATTTTCCCCCGGACTTCCGTCGTTGATCGCAACCGACTCCGGCGGGGAGCCGCGGATGGGATCTTCTCACGGACTTTCCCTAGGGGAGCAAGCGATCATACAAATCGATTACATCGTAGAGCTCATCTCTCGCTCAGGAGTGATCCATGCTCGCTCCACGGTCGGCCCCGCCGCCTCACGTTCGTTCTCCGGAGTGCGCGTCATCTCAGCTCAAAGATCTATCCTTTCAGCGAAGAACTCGCGCGGATAGCCACTCAGTCAGGGGTGTCGTCGCTCGGAAACACGAATACACATGCTCTTGCACTCAATGACGATCTCGAATACTCTCTCGTTATCGGAATGTTCGAGCGCGAGACGAAACCGCAAGTGCCATCCAGGCGTCATGTTCAACTTTGATTTGCGTTCGGGCCGGTTCACGGTGGTGCGAGACACCTCGATACATGCGGCGGTCCGCCGCGGATCCGCCTGTGCGTTTCCGCCGGATAAATGAAATCAGTTATTGTCTCGAGAGCGTTTCAGAGAAGCGAAGTCTGTGTTCGTTGACGAATGAATTGTGCTTTTCTCGCCGCTGCTCGCGTTGTTGTCGTCGCTGTTACTTTCATCAGGCAGAGCTTTTGTGATTCAAATCTGCGTTGGCCCAAGCATTCGTTTCTCTATGTCGGAGCGTAATTAACGCGTTCCACATGACGGTATCTCTTCAGCTGCTTGATAGACAGTAAACAGCCTGAATTCACCAGGGAGGAGCTCTGAAGTCTGAAGGTGTTTTTGTTAGACGAGAGGACTCTTTGGCGAAAGGACTAACGTCAGTCGACGAGATATTTCTTCACTCGACGCCCAAGTTCTGATGAAACTGCGACGACGCCGACATGAGAGGCTCTTCAGATCGGAGAAAAACTCAGGAGGACGATTATCCGGTGTTTATTCTCTGTCTCCCTCGCTCTCGATCAGCTCTCCCCACGATCCGTCTCCGTCCTACATCTCCTATATCGTCGCTCGGAGCCCGGGACTGAATTCGGGTCGGGCCCGTAGGAATATCGTCGCCCCGGATGGAGCATCAAGCAAATTATGTCGTAACGCAGTATGCGGTTTTACCTTGATGATACATTCTTCTGAGCGCTTGTAATCCTTCAGAGGCATAGCTCGTACGCTGAGCACGTCATAAAGTTTTTACTGCTCGGATACTGGAGCTACACGAATCCTTGGTCTCCTCGTCGTACGGCCGAGCGAAGGCTTGGCTTCGATCGTGTCGTATCGGCGATCGGCGGTCTGAATAGAGGGAATTCCACCTTTGTTTCTTTCCGCCCAATCCATCGTTCCCGTGTATGACGAGAGAAGAGAAGAACAGTGAGCGCGGAAGAGAGAAACAGAAAATCCTTCGCGTAGACTTCTCTTGTCTGAATGGAAAAGTTGATGTCTGAAAAAAAGTTTTTGATCTCAATTCAATGCGAGTCCCGTAAAAGATCGCTCCGACGCAGTGTGTGATACTGATCGCACAAGACAAAGCAGATAGACCACAGATCGGTCGCGGTTACGGCTGATGACCGATCGGGGGAACGGAAGCGCGGTCTATGCGTATCGGTGTCCCGTTCCAAAAAGATGTTCATCTCGCAGGTCTGGTACAGAGACATCTCGGAGGAATGTCCGAATGATTACTGAATGACGCTCGGCTATCGAGCGATGCATCTGGGGCCCGGTTCCTCGATCCCGAGGAAATTGAAAATTCAGGGAGGAAAAACGTTCCGTCCTGGCCGATATTGGGTGGCATTGTAGAAAGGGGCGGAATTCCGGCGAGAAACCAATGCGTAAACGGATGCACCTGAGCGAGAGCTATTTATGATTCTTAGGATTCGCCGAGGCTCCGAAGACATTCACACCGGCTATTATTAAATGCCTGGATGAGGGAATGGCCGTCGGGGATCAGATGTCATTCATCCGTAGTGATAAGGTCTTCTCGAGAGCATTTAGCTTTCAAAACAGATCCAGTGCATGGGAACGACTGCCATTTATAACTAACGGTGAGAACGTGCCCGCACCGAGATATTCGCTCAGCCAGCCGCAGTCCATCCGACCGACTCGAGCAACGGGTGATAATATGTCGTAAAAGTCGTTCTGAGATCGTCAGCTGCTCACATGATGATTTATGGCTCGCTTCATCAATTGCTTCCGATTTCTTCGCGTGAATACGACGCTCGCTGGATGTTGAGTTTTATCTCTTCCTCCTTTCGACTCCCCAATCGATTTTGCTCTCTGTACTTCGTACTCGCCTGTGCCTTGTCCGCCTCAGCTCCGGAACAGACGGAGTTCGATGCCGCCGTACGCTTTTCGATGTCTCGATCCCCGATCGCTATTGGCTATCGCCTTTTCCGATGTGACCCCTGATCCGAGAACTATTTTCCTGGTGCGGCTACGTTCCGAGCTTCCGTTTTATTCCAATCTGCTGTTCAGTATTAGCGGAATCTTTTCCATTTGCCTAGCCATCGGTCACAGTCTCGTGACTTCATGAGGAATGCCCGAGGAATTATAGCGCTGATATTCAACAAAAAAAGAGAGGCCTTTCGCTGTGAACATCATGACGAGCGATCTCACGCTAGATGAACCATACTGATTGTGAGTCGATATTCTCCTTCGTGTTTTAGACTGACCTCTCAGTTTTCGGTGAATGTTTTGCTCCAAGAGCGGGAACCTGTTCCAGGTCTACCCGTCCGGAGATTTCCACCAGCTTCTTCCCCGAAGAAGGAAAATCCAACGAGCTGTGAAGATGTACCAAATTCCGGAGAGATCTGCGTGTTCGATGGCACCGATGTCTTAAGCGATGAACAATGTTTTAGCAAATTCACATTTCTCCGTGAATCTGATCGATCTTCCTCTCGCCGAAGGCTCGCCTGAATTATGGATGTTCTCTGCTCTTAAATTCTGTGTTTGCGATCGGAGAGCTCAAGTGACAGCAATGCTTTCCGTCGCAATCGGCGGTCGATGTGCGGAGCGGTCGGTGTGTGATTCCCACCCGATACTTTGGATCTATTCCAGCCCAGAGACATTCGGCTAGGCCAGGAATCCAAACAAGATCTTGCACTTAGTTATTTTACGAGCAACGTTGCTTCTCACGACTCACGATCGGTTGTACTTTGGTAGTTCATGTATCGTAAACTGATTGGAAACAGCGTCGATCTCAAAGGGTCCGGAGGAATCGGAGCTGAAGTTTGCATCGACTGATCGACGGAGTCTTCTGGGGCGATCCGCAAAGACCCGATCCGCCTTTCAGACGGATAGTCGAACAGCTCCAGCGACTGCTTGTACGATGGCTAGAGCTTGTCGACGGGTATTTCAATAATTGAAAACGTCGACTGGAGAGGGAACAAGCGGGACTTCCTTGAAAGGCGTGAAAAAACGATCACCGAGTGGAATGGAAGAATGAAAAAAGTATTATGTTTTACAATTGGGCTCATGTGATATTTGAGGAGGGCGACCCGAATTATCCGAGTTACCCATTCACATCCATCGATAAAATTAGATTGGGATAGAAGCACACACTGTCTCGAGAGATCATCGCAGAACACATAATATTGTGATAGTGATGATGCTTTCTATGTACATTCGCTGGATTCAACAGAGGAGTATTTTCAATGAATTACTGTTTCATTCCAGAATGGCCGATGTGCGTTCTTCGATAGTGGCTGCTTCTAGATCGCGTGCCGGCTGGCTTCAGGATATTTCTGCTAATTCTTCAAGCACGGCTCCCACACAGTCAAGCGCTCCTTTAAGCTCATCTCCGAAGCAGCAGCAACAGCAACTCAACGGATCCAACATGGTTCATCCCCCACCCAAGAAGCTAGGCTCTAAAGTTAGCTCGATCGCAAGCTTATTTCAGCAACAGGTGAGACGCTGCTTTGCGTGACATCGGTTTAGATTAACGCGGCGCCGAAGGGCATCACTGTTCCACTCGAGAGCGCTCGCTCGCGAGAAATTATATTGATTTATTTCCGTAGTATAATCTACAATAGCTGTACGCCGAGAGTTTTCCGATGGAAGAACGTCCCCAATAGGTTAGGGTTCATCGACTCATTGAAATCTCAAAGAGCTCCAACCTCATTCTTCCTTATCGAAGTATCGCTGCGAACCGCGTGGCACGCGAAGACTAACTTATCATCTATGGTTACTAAGGGAAGGGTGAACAAGTCGTTGACAGGCAAGGGGGCTCTTCTTCCGAATTAAGAATTATCCGGCCGGGGAATTTTTCCTTGGGCTTCCTTTCTCGTGGCCCATTCTCCTTGACAGAGCCCGGGGCCTGGGCCGCCTCGTGTTCGAGCTGCGGAAACTTGCCCGCCGCTCCGGATTTCATTTATTGGTATTATTACCAGAACCTGTCGCGCACGGCAGGTCCAGGAGGCTTGCGGTCCAGGACTCGAGCTTTCGAAGTCAGAAATGGAGAGCCGAGCCTTCCCCTCGAGTGACTAGCTCCTACGAATTTGGAGCTAATGTGCTCTGATGGAGGTCATGATACTCCCTGCGTGCTCGCATCCCGGAACGGTACGAGGCCCTGCGGGGCCCGAATAGAGCTCTAATCTGGGGCGATTCTCTTCAGCGTCCCCCACGGTCGAATTTCCCTGGGAAAATACGCTCGGAGTAAGAACCAAGCAGAGGGGCAATCATCAGAGAATGAGGGAGAACGTTGAGCGAACATCTGACCGCATTCCGGATGGGGAATTAATTGTAATGGTGGTGTTGCCAGCGAAGGATGCGATGAGATACTTTTGCAGCATCGCCCCAGACACTACGCACGATGCGTCCTGTCGATATCGGCGGTGGCGGTCAGGTATTCCCGCTGGATTGCGGACCACCTTCTTATTCTCAGAACTTCACGGAGACGCGGGGAGCCATGGGAGTTTTCGGAATTTTTCAACCCGTGGGAAGCTCTTGAGAAACATTCGACGTTGTTTCAAGCTGAAAAATGATCAGGAACGGAAGTAGCATACGGAAAGAAGACGGACACACGAAAATTGAGTAATATATTCTTACTCTCCCGAGAAATTCCGGGTTCGATTGAAGGAGGGGCTCCCGACAACTTGACGGAAGCTCAGGACAAGAGACAGTGCGGAGGTGGTCAACTCTTCAATCGATGAACTTGATCCTTCTTCTCCTCTCTTCGGGAACACGGGTACCTTAGTCCTGCCGTGTCGGAGTCTTCGGGGCTGAATGAGCCTCAAGGTCTTTGCGAGGGCCAAAGCGCGGAGCTCCGTTTGTTTTGGCCAAGGAAAGAGTTCAGGGGAAGTTTTGAATCGATCAAGGAAGTTTGGCGTCGAGAATAGTTAATCATGTCTTTTCTTGCTCCTTGCATTCCTCGCTTCGGAGAGCACATCAACTCGTTGAAACAGAAAAAATTCTTGCGAGGCCCGCGAGCCTTCGGCGCTCAAATGCGTCCTTCCAAGGGTTCGTGTCCGAGGCCCCTGTCTTATACCGGGACGTGCTCCAAATAATCCGGAGGAAGGATAGCTGCGGCGCGTCCTCGGAGTTTGAGCTCGGATCCGTTGGGCCGGCCTAGAGTCGTAGGTCGGACGACGACTTGCGCTCCGATGAGTTTGAGCGCGGAGTTGCCTGTCTTATTTCGGAAATGGCTACCGCTGCCTCCTTCCGTAAGAGGTTGAGTAGTTTCGAAGCATACGATATCCTGGAGGAATCGATTTTTGATCCTGGACAGGGAAGGGGGCAAGGAGCCCCCGATGATTGAAAGAACCTCATTGATACCCCTGACTAACGCAATAATTGTGGAATGTCTTTCTGAGAGGGGAAAGATCACTCGTGACTCGTGAGGCATTCTTGTACCGCAGCCTCCTCGCAAATCTTTCACCCATCTTTCGGGTTTTTTCAGGCAGCTCAAGTCAGTGAGAAGAGCTCCTCGGTACATCGAGGTTGGCACCCGACGCCTAATTTGACGTCATAAAATTTTCGGTCGCGTGCGAAACTTTCCTCGATGGCACGTTCTGGTTTTCATTGAGCTAAAGCCCCGTGGAGATGAATTCTTGACGTGGCGTCGCTGTGCAGGGCTGCGCCGACACGACCATTATACAAAGTCGGCCGAGTTACGGAAAGAGGCTCTCAGAGGAAGCTTTTCATTAAGCCTGTTTGCGTTGCCTTCACGGCTCTCCGTAGTCGTGCCGTGCTGACAACGACTCTTGCTAACCGCTGCGGCACTAGAGGCAACAGCAGCAGCACCACCAGAGGAAGCATGTCATCCATTTTTCTCTATGAGGGGCACAATTTTCTTCCTATCCGAGGTATGCGAGCATTCACATCGCACATCGCCCGTTGGAGGGTCCGACAAGACAGGCTCCCCCGAAATCTCCTCGAGGAGAGGAATAACACACTCCCCAATCACCCACAACCGGGTCGCGAGCTGAATGTGCGACATCTCCGACGTCGTTCTCCGTAAACGACTCGTGTCGAGACTCAGTCAGATCCATTGCCGGCCTATCGCGGTATAATTTGATTCCGCTATTCCAAAGACAGCTCTGCGCCCTGCGTTATACCCCCAATCCGGCTGAATTTGTCACTCTCTCGTTCGCACTTAATCGTTCTCCATGCGAACTGTTCATCTGTCGCCAGACCATGAAGAGCGGACTCATCAGTCGGCATCTGTGACCTGCCCTCGATGCAATTGCCCTCTTGGGAAAAAATGGGGCGCTGCCAAGACTTTATTTAAACAAACGCGGGGTGCTAGCATTGGCGGTTGGCTCACTTGTTCGGTCGCTTGTTCGTTCGTTCGTTTGGTCGTCCCTTCATTCGCTCGCTTTGCCAACACGCCGAGGGCGTTTCTTAGTCAGAGGTGTGAAAAAAAAACTTCAAGCCCTCGAAATAGAGGAACGTTACGCAAAGCTCGTTCGAACCGACGTGCTAAAAATAAGGATCCGTGAACCCAGATTCGATCCGACGAGATGCTCATGTTCGGGTCGAGTTACCGACAAACTCAAAAATGAGTCGCCCTCTCCTCGAACGAAGCGTCGGCCACTATCGTAACCGGGGGGTCTTTCTACTCCATGTATTGACGAAAGTGTCTATGAAAATCTTGGCGCCCAACGAATGCTTTCTTTTCGCCGCAAGGGCTCCCCGTGCGTGACACGGTGAATTACCACCAACGCGACGTCATCCGTGGGAAAGAGAATCTCAGTCAGAATTTTTTTTCAACATATTTTCCATTTTGTGTCGCCTATAGGTCAAGCAGCTGCGTTTGGGTGAGTCTCCCTCATCAGAGACAATAGCAAATCGTCGCAGCGATGAGTTCCAGCAAGCCTGGGATATTCGCCTGGAGGGAATATGATTTCCGGAGCGTTGACGTTTCGACGTTCCTGTCGTTCCATGGAAATAAGTCAGGTGCCTTGACCGCATTTGACTTTCCTAATTGATCAGTGGGTCTTGCCGAGCTCTTCTCTGCGGGCAGAGAGACAACCCGTTGTCGTAGTTATCAGGAAGAACGGTCGATGCTCCGAGCAAATTAGTTAGAAAAGAGTTCGTCTGTAGGTCTGTAAGGGTGGAGCGACCCTAAGCGGAGGGCAGCAATCATCGACAGCTTCGCTGTATTATGTATGTGTCGGCCACGAGGCATTTCCAAATTGACCTCATCAATAACCATTGACGATGTGGAGAGTTCAACTTTCGACTCATTAACTTTCCTGAGTTTCTTATTTCGAGCTCTCGAGCAGAGGGGCGACTGTATTGGACATCCTGCACGGATAGATGATTCCGAAACAAAGTTTTCTAGTCACCTAGTTTTCCGTGGGCTCGCAGAATGTGGACCCACGCCACGGGAATCTCCGATATGGGAGCAGCCAATCTTGTTCAGCTTGGCGACAAGCAATTCTGGAGACTAATGAATTTGGATCGCCGATTGCTAGAAAGCGCAATGTTTTGTCTGATGGCTGACTGAGTGGAGTTTGAACTCGCGATGGCTCGACTGATGGCTCATCTATTCGAGTGACAGGACCATATATATAATATATGGTTGTATTATTAATATTATCATGTCATTCGACTATAATCGAGTGGATCGCTCCGCTGCCTCTCAGTCTGTAAGTCACGCACCCTCTCACTCCTTGACGCTCCGTAAAGCGGGCCGTCTACTCATCCGTGCCGCTTGCACTCGAAAACAATCGAAAGGCGCATGAAGAAAGCGATCATCCGAGCAGAGAGGGAAACGCGCCCACGGCCGAGCGATAAAATATCTCGCCGTCCATCTCGCTCTGCGTGAATATGAATTAATCCAATTAACAGCAGGGAGAGATGATGACTGATTCCATGGCTGGTGATTGCCCTCGTGCTCTGATCGGCTTGTTGATGTGATTGATTGAGAATCGATCAGGAGCTCTGCCTCGGGTGACCTTTTTTCAAAAACTGGGCCAGTTTCGAGCAGTGTCCCGCTCGACTTTCAAAATGGCAACTTTCCCGCAGGCCGGCGCGTCCACGATTATTAGCTTGGTTCGCATGACTTACATCCGGCACCGGAAGACGTTCGTGCTCAAAGTCCTTGTCGTAATTTGCCGCGTTGTTCAACTCCAGCGTCTGAGGCATCGATGGTGCTTGACAATTACAATATGGTACAGACCATTCATCCGTCACCGCGCTGCTCTGGGCCATGTTGACTTTCGCTCCTGAATCACTCTGCGTCCCGTCTCCGACATCAGTTTGCTGAGCAATGCCGGTACTATGACGCGAATCGACATGCCGAAATCTAGTCGCAGATTTAAATCGCAAGAGATCGGTGAGCTCCAAAAGGCTCAGATCATCCTCGGTCATCGCGGTGAGGTTTCGGCGTGATGATAAGCTAAAGGCGATTGACATGAAACAGACATTATGTGGCGTTTTTCGTGGAGCTCGATTGACTTCACGACATCCCCTGTGAGCGAGCAGGATCTTGAACAATTTGGTGCAGAAGATTGGCAACACGGTCGGAACTGAGTCGGGCTCGAACCGCTCAGGGCTCAATCAGGCCTGACGGAACTTCGCCGAAAACAGAGCGAATTACGCTAACTCCCATCAAGTTCAAACTCTTGATAGCGGGACCTACCTATTCGCGAGGAACGCGACGCAACGTGAATTTCACTGCGCTTGAACAAGCCTGATCGTCACGATTTTGGAGCGAATAACGAATCAACGAGCTTCATCGAATCGATTGATTGCGGTAACCTTGGGCGAAGCTTCGCAGAGCCTGGAGCTCGGAAACTGGGTGCCGATAAACTAATAAATGAATAAAGCAACGCAACAAATGGAGGAAAAAGTTCGTTCATTCGCGCGAGGGTTTCATGCCTTGACATTCGACGCAGCCCGAGCAGCAACGTTTCCGAGAACTCGAACGCTTTCCCCCTATTCGTCATGTCCTCACGGCGGCCTCGCGAACGTCTGCGAGCGTCTGGGTCGCTCCATATATACCTTTTGTTTGACGTTGTTGAGTCACGATATGGATGTTGAGATCTGAGCGGAGTCCCGCTGGAGGGGCGTCTTCAAAAAACGCTCCGCATTCAATAATGATGAGCAACTCTCCATGGGATATCTGTGAATGGCGGCCTTGCTCCGCCAGTCAGTCTGGGAAACAAGCTGTGTCCGAGTAGCGCGGAGTCCGCATCTGCCGTGAACTGTGCCACTGCCGAGGAGGTTCCTCTGAGGGTGATCGTCAAGGGAGCAACGTTCAAAACGCGCATATGATTTCGGAACACTCGGAGCATTAAGCCTTGTTGGAGGGCTCGAGTGGCACCGAGCTCTGCGGTGCTAGATTCCGCGATCGACCGACCGAGTGATACAACGACTTTGTCTGTTCTCTGTGATCTCCGTAATCCTTCCACACTGATTGCAGTCCGGGTGCTCGTGTTCTCGATAGGATATCGTTTCCCATGGATCTATGGGACTCCGTGATGTTCTTCGGCACGACGAAGCCCATGGTGACGATTAAATATTGGGTCGGTATGGGGTTCTATCTTCTCATTAATTAATATAGGTAATATGTGAAGTCGTTGGATCCCTGGGGAGCTGCGGAGCTCCTCGCGAACATGTAGAGATCCCTCCCCTCCCCCCAGAGGGCTCATTGAATCAGAGGATCTCGACATGTCGTCGGAAGAGACTCGAGTTGTGGTTTTGCGATCTTAGATTACGACCGTCTGGCAAAGCACCGGACGGTTCTCTATTAATCTGATCATGCAAAGCGAAGGCATCTCAATCCTAGCCAGATCACTAAGGGACATCCTGAGGTCCTGAGCTCACGAGTCCTTCGTACATCGGTCGCCGACAGTCCTCATCGGTGCCTGCTCCGCCGGACACCCGAGGCAGGGGGGTCCTTGACGGAACTCATCGACGCTTTCGCCCCGCCCACAATATTTGGTTTCCCTTTCTCCAAGACAACAGAGTTTGTCCTCATCGCGGAGGCGGTATTCCTGTCGCGGGGCAGAGCTACGAGCGGATCGACTCGATTTTCGAGAGCGCTCCCCGAGTGATCCAGGGCAATGCCATCCGACGCGCTCTCTGCTCGACCAGATGGTGTCTTTGATAATAGGAACACAGTGACCTGCTCTATGAAATGACATGTCCGTCGTTTTCCCGACAAAGATACCTCAGATAGGGATCGCCGGGCGCTTATCGTTGGTCATTCTTGACAATGCCAGGGGACGCGTTCTCTCTGGAGATGGCAGGTTATCCGATCCATCGATGAGGGATCCTTGGATGCCGATTGGGGTTTCAGCCCTCGGAATGATTATTCTGTCAAGCTGGAAAAAATTATCCGTAGGGAAGTTATCTGGAAAGAGCATATATCCGATATCTAATCGCTCTTATGGGCATCTTTCCCTGCTCTTGTCAATCACGGGCGGACGAAGAATGAATATGGATTCTCTCCTCGATTTTCAGGGTCAGGCAACACAGGCTATAACTCCAGAAAAAGCTAAATCTTCAACTCGGAACGAGAAGGTCCTGGACAACTCGGTGACAACGCCTCTGAAAGATACGAGTCCGTTCGGTCACCGAACGAAGCAGGGTACTTCTGCACAGAACGGCCACGGGACTCCGCCCAGAGGAAGTCATCCTAACGGAGGAGGAGGAGAAAGTCCTCTTTCTAGGAGTGACAGCCATGTCTCGAGGTTCCAGGTGGGTCCCTTTTCCCTGACCAGGCGAAAGTTCAAAATTAATTCCGTCAAATATAGGATCAGATCAGCCCGTACTGTCCATTCGACTGAGTAAGAGCTAGGGCGATTGCTAAGCTTCCTTCATCGACATTGTTTTCCAGGATGCTCGCGCGATGTTTGCCAAGCTCGAAAGCGAGCAGAAACGATCTCCTTGCTTTGACCGGTCACTTTCGACGTCAAACTCGAGGCCGGCGTCCGGAAGGACCACTCCCGAGGATTTTCTGGAACGCCAGACCTTTAAGGAGTCTCTAGCGCTCCAGAAGTCTCAATCCGAAGATAAAAACTCCGGTAGTAAAACCAGCGGATCATCGCATCCCAGCAAGAAACCGCCCTTGCCGAGCAAACCCAAGTCTCTGCTTCAAGATAATAGTAAGTTTCTCGGGGAAATCGAGACGGAATATTCCTTCGGGACATCTCTGTAGAGGAGAATTACGGAAGGGAGAGGGTCGACGCACGGACGAGTGAACTAAAGCAGACGCTCAAAATTCTCAAAAGTTTTCCATCCCTCACGGGAAGAACGAAACTCGATTTCCAAATGAATCGCAATCACCGCGGCGAGCCGAGCTAATTCGGCGATATTGGGTCACATCGGTTCTCTCTGCTCGCATCATCGAGTCCCTTAAAATCTGCAGGGCTCGTTGTTTCTCTCTCGTTTGGCGGCATACCTTCCTCTCATAGAACTATTGATCCGATGTTCCGCCTGACAATGGTTCACTCTCGGCGGATTCTCTTCTCCGCTGAATTTGACGGCAGGCAATCGCCTCCGTGATCAATTCTGAACTCGTCTCCGGAGCAAACATCTACTGAACTCACTTGGGCACGACGCTCGATGCCGGCACGGAAAGCGTCTCCGCGCTGTCATATGCTCGCCAATAGCTCTCGAGATGCGACGGCTTCTCGTCTCGGTTGACACGACGAGCCTAAGCCGAAGTTTAGGAGCGCTCGTGGCCTTTCCCATGCTGCTCACACCGGAATCCGAGAAATCCCCGTCCGTGAGGGGTTTTCTGTGAGGTGGAATGCCTTCGCCACGTGACCTGTGAATGAGACCGCTACCGAGCGAGCGCCGCGAATTTGACAGTGAAGTGCAGAAATCTGGTGACAGCAGAACGAAAACAATTTTGTGGAAGAGCCTTGAGTTAAAGCGTCGCTGCCGTCGCAGGGAGACGTCTTTGCCGTCACGAATGCTTCCCCATTTGAATCGCTAAGTTGTGTCGGAAATTTCTCCGCCGATTCTGTGTCGTAACATTCGTGCCGCAGCAATCGAATCCCCTCGATTCTCGCGGATCAGCCGCGGAGTCGGCTTTAGGAATTTTGTTCCTCGGCATCAGACCCATAGCTCTTTGCTGTTTTCACGATGACGTTCGTTCGAGATTTCTTCCTCAAAATCAGGGAATTCAGTGAGTAATCGAAAACCCGTCCGAGAGCAGCGCCATCGGAACCTTAGGGCAGTCTGCAGACGAATTCGGGACTTGGACCAATCAAGCGCTGGAATTCAGTGGATTCGATTCGACCGGGAGCTAATAATAATTGATCTCTTCCCTATAGGTCCTTTATATTCACGGCTGCAACAAGTCCAAGCGGCTCAACAGAACGGCGCGCTTCACGCGGACGGAAATCGGAGACCTCCCGAGCACCAGATGGGCCCCGATGCCGAGACCGGTTCCCAGCCAGAGTCGCTTACGTCCTCGGACATCAATCCTCAAAGACTCGACTCCGGTTTTACCTCGATCGAAGACGAACTCGACGATGTGAGCGGCCGGTCGCCCCAGGAAGGTCGGAGGAGAGAGATCGACAAAGCCAATCCGCCAAGCATCATCGAACGGGTGAGGGGTCGTTTTCGGGATTATTTCCGAATCTTATAATTAGACGGCATTGAACGATGAGCGGAAAATGCCTCGGATAGATTCCAATCGTTGATACGGGAAGGGAATCAGCGACCTCGTCCTAATCCGTGGACCGGAGTGGGGTTTCCGATGGGCGACCCAATGGTGTCAGACCGTACGTTGACGAGTGGTAACATGCAAACGGAAATGTAGGTGTCGCCGTTTGGCCATGTTCAGGACTAAGTCATTGAACGATTGAGATCACGAGTCGAGAATAAGCCACCAGCAGACGTCCAGGCAACGCTTTACGCTGCGTAGAGCTCGATGTAGTCGTGGATTCAATCAACGCGGAATCAATTTCCACGTTGCCACTGCATGCGAGTCGTCGTATCGACGCCGCTCACCCTGTTGATAATCGATTTGGATGATCAATTCTCCATAAAAGTTCGAACCTTCTAAACCTCATCCGCTGAGTTTCGGGCTACGTTTCCCGGATTGATGGACGCGAGTAATTACGGAATGCATATCTCATCTGGGGATTTTCATGAAATACTCCACCAGACACCAGAGTAGGAGCGGAAATAATCTATTTGCCACGATCCCAAAGCTCGATACCGATCCGGATAAAACAATCGAGTCAATTGTTCACAGCTCGACCTCCGGAACGAACCGCTCAAATCAGATCAATTGAGTCCGGTGACGGAGGTATCCACAGCCGAACAATCATCGGAAAACTCAGTGAGCATACGTCAATCGGTACGGGATGGCGTTCAACACGCGGAAGAGATTCATATCTCGTCCAGTGATAACAGTTCGAGCCAGGCCGACGAGAAAACGCTGGAAGGTCAGTTCGTGTTCGGTGGTGTGATTATTATGTACGAGCCGCTTTATTTTATGCCTTCTGCTGACGCGCCAAGAGAAGATAGGAGAAAGTCGGCGAGCAGCTGATTCCGAGGTGGAGCGCTGGCGCCGCGTCCACGTTTTAGGCACCTGATCGATGTACAGTTGTCACCGGTTAAGGGATGGAGTTGAAGATTTGATTCGAAGTGATGAAGTGTGATAGGCAAATGATGAGGGTGATTGTCTGAATGATCTGATTGTGGAATGATCGCGCACAGAATTGCATTCGGATCAATGTGATATGACAACGCTCGGAACTTCGAGCCAAGCGACGGAGATCACTGAGCCCGAGAGGAAACATCTTCCGCCGACTGACAGTGGTAGGTTCACTTCGCGGTCGGGGCTCGAAGCCTATCGTCCTCGGTCCAGAAACGTGCATGATTGTTGTACCCTCGAGAGGAATGTGTGACTGATTGAGTTCGAGTGTGCACCTGAAGCCTAAATGACATGAATCTTCCGAATAATCCACCTCCAGCTGTATGAGAATGTCGACGATTGATGCTGATTCAATCGCCGATTTCACGGCTACTCCGGCCGGGGTCGGAGACTCTTCGACGCTTTTCGGAATCAACCCCTACCTTGAAGGCCTTTCTTCAATTCCCGTTTGAATTAGTTGAACTGGGAAGCGCTCCTTCCCCTCTTCCCGAGAATCATGAGTTCGCTCGCTCTCTACGGGGATCTCCAGAAAGAGGAGAAGGCTAAACGAGTTTCATCTCTATTCAGGCAAGGGAGGATCATCGAGTGACTCCACTTTGCGAGAAGAAGCCAAAGACGGCGATGCAGGAGGTGCGGGCGATTCCCTGGCTGAATTCATGACCAAAGATGAACATGATCGGTTGCTCCTTAACAGCAGGTTCGTAGTCGATCTCATCACCATGTCCGATCTAATCTCAGGGCTCTATCGGAATGCGGGGAAAATCATGGTCTGCCGAAGGTGTCATCCGAATCCATGGGACGAAGTTTGTCATCGTTCCTCGTGGCCTCGAAAACGAAAGTTGATCGAGGCTTTCTTGTCGATTCCGTTTGAGGAACCGCACCCTCTATTTACAACGCGATAGGACATTCGGCGGAATTTGTCATCGGTTCCACGCCTCTGGCAAAGCATGATTATCACTCTCGACCTCCCCGATTTGTTTCGAGCGTCGGAATTTATCGATGCGGTATTCCCGCGACTAGTTCGAGACTGGACACATCAAAACGTTCGTATTTTTCCGCAGTGGCCCGATCAACAACGCTGCTCGTCAACGAGCCGCAGAGGATCTCGAAGAAGACGAAGAGATTCTCACCGACGAACAGGCCAAGGAAGTGTGCCAAATCCTCAAAGACAACTCGTTCGAGAAGAACGAACAGCTGATCCGGGAGGAGTACGAGGAGGAGCAGAGACGACAGAACCGGCTGGCCGCTCGGGAGCAGTGGGTCACGGGGAGCATCGATGCTGAAGAGCTCGCCAGCCCCGTGACCGAGAACAATCCCATCAACAATACGTACTCTGTGGGTCTGGCGAGTCCCGCGGGCAACACGTACAACTACGACGATTCGATGGAGGAGGACGTCTTGGATCGCACGTTGCCTGCATCGCCCGAGCCCGAGTCGGTCGGTTCTCTGCACATCGACGAGGACGGTCACTACTACGTCGAGAGACCTGGTCTCGCGGAGGATCCTTTCGAAGACGACGATTTGCTTGACGAACAGCCGCCGGAAATGGTGATCATCAAGAAGGCGAGCAAGATCCGCTTTTCGGCACTACCGATACGAGTGTATCTGACGCATTCGGTGGATGAGTACGACCGAAGAAACGATGAGATCGACCCGGTCTCGGCTTCTGCGGAATACGAACTCGAAAAACGCATTGAGAAAATGGACGTTTTCTCCGTCGAGCTCATGAAGGGGCCCGAGGGCCTCGGGCTGAGCATCATCGGAATGGGTGTCGGTGCCGATGCCGGCTTGGAGAAGCTCGGCATCTTCGTCAAGACGATCACACCGAACGGTGCGGCGGCCATGGACGGCAAAATCGAAGTCAACGATCAAATCATAGAAGTCGATGGCAAGTCCCTCGTAGGGGTCACGCAAGCCTACGCGGCTTCCGTGCTCAAGAACACGTCGGGACTTGTCAGATTTCGGATCGGTCGTGAACGGGATCAGACGAACAGCGAGATCGCGGCGCTGATCGCCCAGTCGATCCAGGCTGATCGCGACAGAGAGCAGCGTATGCGAATGATGCACGGAGAATACCACGGAGATCAAGGCCACCGACACGGTTCCCCCGAGCCTATCTCGACTGGACCCTCAACACCTGAAGAGGGTGAGGATTTGCCCATCATTGGTTAGTAATCCTTGGTTCCCTATGTTACCGTTTCGCTGATTATTTATGATTATTTATGATTATCGGAGAACCTTCGTGAGAGCATTCGAATGTTCTTTATCATTATTCATTGGAATATTTTTCATCCAAGGAATCCTTTCCGATCCTCATTTCCTCCAACTGATTCCGATTTCGGCTTCCTGAGACGTTGCCACGGGACTTTCCCTGTCATCAAATTTTCTCTTGATCATATCGTCAGTAGTTGTCGGCAGACGGAGCGAATTACGAATTTTCAAAACTCCGACTTGTGGTCGCGGCTCAAATAACAACTAAACTCCGGTCCGCTCCGAGTGCCTGAAATCAACCGAGAACTTGTATTGAGATGAGTCGAAATTTGATCTTTCGTGCAGACGCTACACACGATCCTCACGGCGAGGATGGTAGTGGTACCGAGGACAACGAGGGCGGCCAAAGTCAGCTGTCCATGCGCTACAAGGAGCTGCAGTACCGCTACGCAGTGGTCGAGTCGCAGCTTCGAGCGCTCAAAGACAAGCTCGACGCTTCAGAAGAAGAGAGGACACGATTGGGTCAGCAGTTGCACATTACCCAACGCCGGTTAGAGGAGGCCCAGCGGAACCTGGAGGAAGCCAACGAAAGGTGGAATGCAGAAAACGAACTGCTCAAGGTTAGTGACCCGAATCTCTTCGACTACGATGAGGCTCGGGCTACTCCCACGTCTTCTTCGCCGTCCCTTCTCGAGCTCCTACTCGCATTGGATTCGAAACAGAAGAATCAGGTTCGTTTTGATCCACTCCGCAGGATCAACTGGACCAGAGTGAGGCGAAGTACCAGCGCCTGAGGAAGGGTCTCTCGGATCGACACGAAGATCACGTGAAGATCGACATAGAAAAAGATCAGCATTACAACCAGATTGTAAAGAATCTTAAAGATAGGGTTATCCAATTAGAAAACCTGCTAGAAACCAGTCAGAAAAATGAGGGAATGCCGATCGGTGTCCCGAAACCGAGGCAGAACCGGGCCAAGAGCCTCGATGAGTGTGAGTATCTGCACGGATAGGTAACGAAGATTCTCGGCTTGACAAATCGGGGGAACCCGCAAATACTTCCGCGGTATGTCCCATGACAGTCGCGTCGACACGACTCGCAAGAATTCTGAAATTCTTGCGAATTTCAGCGGTGATTCTTCTGAGTGATATGATCCCAGCCACGGAGTTTCTAGATTCGAGCGCGGCCCGTGCAAAGGCTGAACTTTGCAAAGGTCGTGGTATCCGACAGCCCCCAAAACATTTAAGGAAAACTCTGTCTACTGAGGAATCTCACATGATCAACTCCTCCACCGGTGAGCATAAATTATGAGGGAAAATTTCCTCGGGGAACAGGGTTTCCCGCTCGGAGAATACAGAAACGGATCGATCCCCTACTCTCGGGTATACTAAGACCGCGCGTATTTACTCGGTCTTCTGGCATGGACTAACACCCGCCGATCATAACCACTTGGCGGAATTCTGGCGTTTCTTCCGAACCTGCTCTATGGGAGTTCTCCAGAATGTTCGGGGGAAGGGGACACGGGGGTGGCGCAAACGTGTGGTTCTCATCGATCGTGTCGTTTGATTGCCCCTCCTGCTCCAAAAATGAGGGAACTACTCGATTGATTGATTTATTGTTCTTGTTCCAAGCTCATTCTTCAGAGTAACATACTCAGCACTATTAGCGGGCCAGGTAAGGGATCTTCTCGTAGACTAGCTCTTACTTAGAATGCAGCACCCTTCCCGCTGGTTCGAGCCCCGCTTCATAAACCCCACATGATCATGAATCATGGACGACCACTGATGAGATTTGATTCCGGTTATCTGCACGGCTTCCGCCCACCATGGCTTGCACCAGTCCTCCCGCACTGACGTGGGTCCTTGCATTCGGTGTCAGCTGTTTGTTAACTCACAAAGTCAAGTCCTGATGTTCGTGACAGGTCATCCTCACTGAGCACCGTGTGCATATGTGTTGCAGGTTCTGTGGAAAGCAATTCCGTTTCTTGTGACAGTCTCGATATGTCGACGGAGTCGCTGTCGATGTCCAGTGACTGTTTGTCCTCACCCGATTCACAAAAGGGTGCTCCCCTCCCTGTTTTGTCGAACAACGTCTCGACTTTCACCAATTCGTCTGTGTCACCGGTCCATCATCAGCAACAAGTGCAACAAAACCCTCACCAACAGCACCAGGGTCCACAGGGCCAACTTTTTCCCGGTCTAGTTCCCTCTGGAGGTACGCCATACTGCAATGCCTCGACTGTCTCCTGTCTCAATCAGCTCCGGAACCGGCAATGCTCGCACTTCTGCACTATGTTCTTGTGATCTCTTTCCGTGGAGCTATTCAAAACCCGTGATTGCACGATCGCATCCGCTCCCTGAAATTCGATCTCCTCTGATTCGACGCCGACGTGGCTCCGATTCTGACATCCCCCCTCCCCTCTATTTTAGGTGTTCAGCTGCTCTCTGCTCGCATGAATACATCGTCACTCCAAAGGAATGGCCACCACGCCGTCAGCCCTGCAGGAATTCACAACGGCGGCCACGGAGGCTTGCCTCCCATGTCTCCGGGCCCCGGGGTCGGCTGCTTCGATATGGGCTCTCTGCTGCACAAAGTGAACTCGAGCTCTCGGCTCGACGCCTATCAGAGGGGCGTTGTCGCTTGGAGCCCGAATCAAGTAATGCAGTGGCTGGTGGCTGTCGGCATGCAAAACCATGTTCCGGTACGTGACCCATGTCGACGTATTTTTCTCTTCGTGTCTTTTGTCGTCGATCGTCGCTTTCTGTTGAGAGCGTTTCCTCGTTTGACGAACCTCCTCCCCACAGGCATTCAGCTCCCGAGGAATCACGGGTGATCAGCTGTTGGAACTGAACAATGACAGACTGAAAGACTTCGGCATTCGCGATAGTGGCGAACGTGCTCTCCTTAAGAAAAAATTAAGGAACTCAGAAGAGAAGTTGACCGCGAGAGAAAGGCCTACCGCAAAGAGATGGAAGCCAAACGCTAAACCAAGCTGCTGCCGGGCCCCTCGAGTCGATTCGCATGCTGAGATTACAAACCTTCCTGCCGATGGACCGAACAGCTGACCGATCGAGAGAGATATCAATCGTCGGCTATTCAGAAAAGAGGTCCAAATCATCGTTTATCGAGAGCCCCCTTCTTCGCTACATTTCCGAAAGGACTCCTTGATTCAACTTTTTGGGAGAGCACGTCCGCGAGCGGACGGTGACGCGAGACCCTGGCGGAACAGAAGGAGTGTGCAGAAAGTCTGGATCGAGGATCACATCACGCCAGAGAGAAGAGAAACGACCGGCAATCAGAGGAATGAGGACTCCGAGCTGAACGAAGAGGTTCACTGCAAAGCGTGGCTGATGAAATGAGTGACGGATTGATCGACAGCTAGCCAACCGGCCGGCCGGCCAGCCCGCTCGCCCAACTGATCGATATGAGTGCGTGAAGCAGTGGTACGGAATGGATGAAGACTATTTTGGATCTCCAATATTTTTTTGATGACTTGTATCCTCGTCGCTGGAGCTAGGGATGTCTCGGGAGAAAAAGTAGCGATTCGAGTACGAGTCTGGAGAGCTCCAGACTGCTTTGCGACATCCGTCTAGCGCTTTTTGACATTAGAGTCGGCGGAGGTGATGTTCGCCGATGGAGAAGAGCAGACGCGATCATGAGGAATTGAGTTTAGCGTTCCTTTCTCACGCATTCTTTGTTGAGTTGTACCACCGCCTGGAAATGATTCACGACTACAGTATGAGAAATCTTGGCGACCCGCCAGAAGACACTCGCTTTGTTTCCCGTGTATATACATTGAATCATTCTTATTTCCAAAACAAAGGTGACAAATGCTCGAATTTTATGCCTCTGTTCCATGCGTTCCAAGGAGGCGGCTGAGGCGGATACGGCTCGAAGAAGCCCAAGAATCGTTGACGACGCATATCTTGCTTGCTGTCTGCTGGGATGCCTCTGGACCTTTGTATCTAGTGTCGCTCAGGCCGGATATGTATATTGCTAGACTTACCGATGCCCGATAGATTGATGACTTGGTCGAAAGATACAGGATCGATCGGAGTCTGCGGGGCCAGCATGCCTCCGCTCCGCCCTGGATTTCGAAATTGTGACGCCCCGCATTCCCTATCGGGAGCAGCATCGATTACTCGATCGATAGATTTCGACGTGATGTCTGACGCCTATTTATATGATGATACTACGCCGCTGTTCCCCTGAGTCGTCTTGTTCCGGGAAGAGCGCCTTGAACTAGACATCAGCTGCAGCGTCGTAGTCGAGAGACTTACGATTATGTGTAAAATGAATAAATCTTGAACCCACCGACAAAGAACACTCGAATTCTTCTTTCTGATAGCTTTGACGAGAACGATCCTTTATCGACCCTACCGTGCTTGCAGAGAAATTTGAAGAGAGCAAGACCTCGAATTTTCCCCTGCATTCATTCGCAAATGCAAGGGGATTCCTCACAGCGGCTGGACCACTCGTTGAAGCCTCGAGAGCAGATTCCCCCGGGTCTCGTCGAGAGCTCTCGATTGAGATCCACTACATCTAGTAGAGTACCCACGGCGAAGGTTTTACCACGGCGCAGCGGAGGCTATCAGGAAGACGAAGAAGACCCTACCACGTTAGAAGGGCAAATGACTTGTGAATGCAATACAGTCCACTTCGGCAATGTAAGGGTCAATATGTGCATAAAGAAGGTCTATATAAATCCAGTCCAATCCAATTAGGGACCGACCTCATCTGGTAGATTCGAGATCCACCGTATGTGGTGAAGTCGAGTCCTACCTATTCTAGTGGATTCAAGATCTACCTAATCCAGTATGTTCGAGATCCAGCTCATCTAGTAAATTCGAGATCTACCTCATCTAGTAGGTTCGAGATCCTACTCATCTAGTAGATCCGAATTCCACCCCATCTAGTAGATACGTTTCTATCCTTATCCTCGCCCGTCCTGCCGGAACTTCCTTCTTCGGACGGACTTTCCGGACGTTGAATCTCCGCGAAGAGAAATCTCAAGACATTGAGGAGACCATCGGAGCATATATGAGGGCTTTATTTCTCAAGCATTGATCGAAATTCCTAGATGAAGAAACGTACATTTATTATCTCAAAACATTCGGCTTAGGATCTTGGATACATTCAGAATTCTGTGCGGACTTCCCTTATTTTCCTCTCTCCCCACCTTTGCCCCCTTTTCCTGCTTCTCCGTCTTTTCCTTCCTTCCCTTCTCTCCCTTCCTTTCCATCCCCCGCTCCACTTCTGATCTTCCCGTCCTCCTCGGTTCGTCCATTCTCCTCATCTTCTCTGGCTTCTTCATCTTTCCCGTCCTTTTCAATTTTCCGTGCCTTCTTGGATCTTCGCAGGAAAACATCTTTCCTCGCATTCTTATTCTTGCCGTTATTTCTGTCTTCCTCATCTTCTCCAATTCTGCCTTCTTTCACCATTTCGGCGAGTGCTCCCGCCCTCACTCCCATCCTTGCTCCGCCTTGTTCGCGGTCTTCAACATTTTTCGCAAGTTTCAGTATCGCTCCCCCGTCGCCTCCGTCTCCTCCGTCGTGTCCGTGACCCCCGTTTCCCCCATCTCCCCCGTCGCCGCCGATCCCTCCGTTCCCGCCATCCCCTCCGTTGCCCCCGACACCTCCATTGCCGCCGTCTCCGCCATTTCCTCCCTCCCCACCGTCCCCTCCGTCGCCTCCGTCTCCCGAATCTACTCCGTCTCCTCCGTCGCCCCCGTCACCTGACCCTACTCCGTCTCCCCCATCACCACCGTCACCCCCAACTTTTCCTTCCTGCCTCAATGCTCCGATTCCGACGTCAGACATTTCTAAACCGAACTCTCTGAAATTCACGGAGCCTTCCCCGCCACCCCTCCTAACTCGTACTTCCCCAGTTCGTGTCGAATTGAATCCTTCTCGACTACCCCCTTCGAGGTTGAGCGCTCCATACTCGCCCGTGAGGTTCCTTTCCCCATAGCCGTCTCCACCCATATTCCATTTCATCCCTTCCCCTGTCGAGTTTCCCACTCCACTTCCAACGCCTTTCGTCTCGAACACCGACCCCGATCCTGCCCCATTCCTTACTTCGCTCCTATTCCCAATCATTGCCAGTGCCGCATCACTGCCTGCCGCATACCCTTTTCCAGAGTTCCCCCCATCCATCTCCGATCCCACGATCTTATCTGTTGTGTTCCCGCTCCCTGAATCACCCATCCCCATCTCCAGTCCTGATATCTTTCTTGTGGCATTTCCTGCTTGGTTTGCATACCCCTTCATTCCTAGCATCGCATCCTGTTTCGCGGTCTTATTCCCATTCGAATCACCTTCTTCCGTCGTCTCCCCGTCCGTTCGGGTTTTCCCTCCCGTTTCCGTTTCCTTCCCCGTCGTGTTCCCGCTCCCGTCACTCTCTCCTTCCGTTTTCTTTCGAAGTGTTTTCCCAGCCGTGATGACGCCGCCTTTGCTTTCCACGACTTCATCCTTCCCTGATGCTTTTCCCATTCCATCAGCATCCCCCTTCATTTCCGTTCCGACCATCTTCTTCTGTGAATTCTTCGTTTCCTTTTCCGTACCTCCGGAGGCTCCTTCCTTCCCGTTTCCCTTGGCTTCTTGAAGGACCGTCTTCGCAATCGTGCTCTTCTCCGCTCCGCCAGATCCAATCTTCACTGTTCTATTCCCTTTTCCTTCCTCTGTCATTCCTTTGGCTTCGCTCTTCTTCCCATCGTTTCCACCTCCGCTGTCCGTTCCGTTCGTCCCCAGTTTCCGTCCGAAGATCACTGCTGCGCTAGCATCTGCGTATGCTCCTCCACCTCCGAGTCCCCCGCCACCGATTCCTCCGCTCTTGACACCACCGCTGCGATTTTCCTCGCCACCGATTCCTCCGCTCTTGACACCACCGCTGCGATTTTCCTCGCCTCCGACTTCCCCGTCTCCGATTCCTCCGTCTCCGGTTTTTCCCTCTGCAACTCCACCGCTTCCGGTTTCTCCGTTCGCGATACCTTCGCCTCGGATCTCTGCCTTCCCTTCCTCCGTGGTTGGGCCCAGACCGATGGCTGCGTGCAACTGGCTAGCGTCGGACACCTTGCACAGTCCTGACGACGCCGACGTTCTGGTGGATCCTGCGGTACAGTTGCTCCCTAAAGTGTCGCTGACTGCGAATACGTTCTGCCCCATTTCATTACCTCGCTTGGCGTAGTTGCAAGCGACCCATGTCTTATTGTCGGGGGGCGGTTTCGACAGGTAAGCGCAGCCAAGAGCGTATGAGCTGGCCCAGATCATTTGAGTGTAATGACCGATCGCAAGATTTCCGGCGAAGGGATTAATGTCGTCGATGGACGAGGTATCGTTTTTCTCGCCGTGCCACGCGAGAATCGCCTCCCGACCGAAATATGCGCCGGTCCTGTTGGGCATTGTACCTTCATACAAGTTCTGACCGACGGAGTTGAACGACGGCGTCAGTCGGCACTCCTTGTCATCATGGGAAAGATCCTCGACTTCGCAAAGGTTCTGGAGCCATCTCAGAGCGTTGTCTTCGAGCTCTGAGCTCCATTCCATCTCGAGCATGTCCCCGCCATATTTACCGTAAACAGCTTCCGCTCTGCAACGTGAAAGAATTTCATCAACTTAGGCATCCTCGGGAGGGACTCGCTGAAGTTCTTTGCAAATCCCAGCTACAGTGGAGAGAATATCGGGAGTCTTCCGCCGGAATTATGATCGAAACTAATTAATTTGGACCGACTGCTTATCGCTGAAGAAGGTTTTCGTTGCGTCAAATCTGCCAGGGATCGGTCTCATGCCTCGATCAGACCACACCCTCCAGGGTAAGGTAGAATCCGTCGGAATAAGGGATTGGATTCCGTGACACAGATAAAATTATCCTAGCAGAGCAGTAGGAATGTGTTCGAATAAGGAATCTCGAAGCTGGCCGGTAGCGAGGTCCATTCCACGGGCATATAATCTCGACCACTCATTCGATGCGATGGGAATATCGTCCTCG